AACTCTCAGGTCCGGTCATCATAAAGACGAAATTGCTACACATTACTCGCGGTACACCCGTCCCGCAGAGCAACACCAGAGTCTGCTTTAGTATTTCGTTGTCTGGTGTGAATGCCTCTAAGCCCATTGCATTCGCTATCTGCAAACAAAACAGTGTCAACAGAATACAGTACTGTACAGACAATACATTAACAGTACAATATAAGACAATACAGTAACATTGATCTGTAGTAAAATAGAATACAATACAATAATAGTAGGGTGTAATGGAATGCAATACAGTAACAGTGCAATACAATACAATACAGCAACAGTACAGTACATAACAACACGATACAGTAACAGTACAGTGGAATACACGTTGGACATCGTAAAAATATCTCCAATTGCGCACATAATTGAAGGACGATGTTCGGATAAACCGGTGATCTCGTGTTTATAGTTTGCGGTTTCTTGTGTGTCTCTCTAGTGCTTTGCATGTCGTGTGTTCTCTGGCCACCGTTGGCAACTCGTGACCGTTGTGTTGTGATCAGCTAATCTCAATCACTAGCTCAGTGTGGTTATATCAGTTGCTGTGTATTAGTCAGTGAGTGTGTTGTTCGTGTATCCAGTGTTGTTGTTGTGTATGAGCCATCATCCAAACTCAACCGTCAGTCTATCTTCACTCCACCCAACCATTATTATCGTCTTTATTTATTGCGTGTATAAATCATATTATTAATTATCGTCTTCGCACCAGCAGCACAAGTAACATCACGTACAGTGACAGTCAACATCACAAACAGTACCGATCAGGAATACAAACGATTATAATCTTTCAACAAAAATCGCATTGCTGTTCATAGCACCTTACCGCTATGCACGCACCTTATAAATGAGGAAAACTTGTAACAGTTGATAAAGAAACAACACAACAACGTACCTCAATGCTCTTATACATATAGCTGCTGGCCGCCAACGATTGCAGCAATCCTCTGATATGTCCAACACTGGCGACTGGTGCAAGCGCGAAGAATTTCTTCACCTAAAAGATGATTCATGAATAAGCACTGATTTAACTTCGAAGATCAACGATTAATTGTGCATCCCAAAATTAATTTCAGGCCGACTAAACTCGGTGAAAAATTAATTTCAGGTTACCACCCCCCCACCCAAAATCCGCCTCGCTCCTCTGCACCACCACCAGCTAACCTTTGCGTTGAATTCCGGTTCGGTGGCAAGTTTTGCGAACATTGTTAGTGTGCCCTGCGAATGACCAACGTAATAGACGTACGATTGATTGGTCACTTGAAGTGCTTTATCGATCATTGCACTCAAATCATATTTGTACATTTGTTGCCACCTGGAATTAATTTCAGATTGAGTTTTTTTTTGAGGTGGAGGAGGGGAAAGGGGGAGGGAGTTGGTGACAGTTTCAGGTTCCACTTCGATTTCCGCTTACGTGAATTGCCAGAAATTGCTTTGTGTGGCGTCCAGTTCCACGTGTTCTTTCGAATACACATTGCCACGAAAATTCCCCATCCATACGTCATAACCTTGATCGGCCAGCATAAAACCTTTAAAAATTTTTTTAATGCAAAAAATTCTGAATAAATAATAAAATTTGAAACTTTTTATGCCTCAGCTTGACATCAACACCTTTACAATAATGTGTATGTGTTCAAATAATGGTGGAGAGCTCTAATAGGTGATAACAAAATCTCAACGAGGCACTAAAATAAGAGGGAGACAACGGAGTGCCAAAACGTTTTGGCAAATTG